TTCGGCGCTCTCGCTAACTCCCCTCTCTTTTCAGGTGGAGCCGAGGACCCGACCAGCATCTGCCAGACGACATTCCAGTTAATACGGTTTAATCATTCAATAACTAGTATAATTTATATACAAATATGCAATGCCAAACTGTACTGTGGAAATCGCGCTAATAAAGTGCAAACTGTTCTACTAAAGTGCTGAGTGACATTATTACTGTGCAAAAGGAAGTTATTTAAAGTGCAAACCCACATGTGCAATATTACAAGGGCCCGAAGCCGTCAGTCCATAGTAACGAAGTTACCTTCGTTACACCCTCAAACATTTCTTTATTATGCTTTAGAATTCCTCAAAGATTATGAGGCGGTTTCTTGGCACAGATGAAGTGATGAAGCTTCCACGAACAACCAAATGCACTCTTTTGTACAAACAAAGGGAACCTGGTTTGTCACGTACAGAGCGGGGGTGGAGTTGAGGGTTAGCATGCTAAAAATGTGTCACTTGGCACACAAAAGTGCATTGAGGATGATGGCAATTTTTGTATAACTTTTTGCATAAACCAAGATATCTTTGTAAAACAAACTTTGACCTGGATGGTGGTGCAGAAATCATCAACTGTATACAGTGTTTTATGGCTTATCTGTTTGAGCTACATATTCAGAAACCTAAAGATAGGCTGTAATAGATCGCTAATGCTTAGAATCACGCAAATATTCCGGTAAATTATCCCCACATTTTACTAGTTTAAATGTTCAAATAAACTATTTTGCACTTTTAGAAAAGGCACTGCTGAGATTCGAACTCAGGATCTCCTGTTTACTAGACAGGCGCTTTAACCAACTAAGCCACAGCACCGCAGTGGGCACCCGTGGTAGTTGTTATTATATACATTGAAATTTAAATCCCACGCCGGTGCTTAATAAAGAGCCACATGTTTACAAATACAAAATTATCTTTTTGCCAAGTACTACTAATAAAATAAAGTCTATGTGTTGACGTATCTTTACAAGTCCTCGGGGAATTCCCTGAAAACCCATGGGAGTCCACAGGCTGCACTTTGGGAGACAACTGGGTCGTGTGAAACGTTTTTAACTATCAAAAATAGTTCCCCCCCCTTGAGCTTATTTTCTTTAAGTATGAGTCATGTGCCAGATTTAATCTGAAACGGCAGCCGGAGGTAGAGCAGGGCTCCAGGATTTCCAAGGGAAATGGCGTTGAGAGAAACCTAATCCAGCAGCGGGGTTGTGGGGTGGTCATGGTGGGGGTGGGGGTGGGCTGTTTGTGAGGAAAGCCTAGTGGTCTTGCATAAAACGGACCCCCTCAGCCTCCTCACTGCTCACATACCTGACATACTTAAACGTTTCGGTGAGCTGACCTACACAATCTGATACCAAGCTCTGCGAGAGCTTAACTGTGAACTATATCAAGTCATATATGTTACCTGAATGGAAAGCCTTTTTCATAAAATGTGATTTTTTTGGTGGCCTGTCATCGTGTTATGTTCAATCCTTGTACATAGATTAAATGCAAATCAGTATTAGACAGTGTTTTTTTTGTTTTTACGAAAGGAGTATTACTACAGTGTAAAGATACATTACAATTAATCGTGAATACATTTTATTTGGAAAAAGGCGAAAGGGAACAGGAAGGCATGGACGATCAGGATTTGATTTTATAACAAAAAACTGGTTTCAGATATGAAGCCCTCGTGTAGAGATGTAGAAGGACCACAGTAAACATTTTTACTAAAAAACAGATGACATCTTATGAGACACTAGATTCAAACTCTTAAGTTAGCGGCGCACATACTTTAAAAACAATATTTATTAAGATTTAGCTTGTATATTTATTATGAAGATGTGCTTCTCCTGAGTAGTATTTTGGTAGTATGAAAAGTAATTGTATTTTCCTATTCAGGTTACAGGCTTGCTTCTTATTTATAATAATGACCTTACTCTTCCCCAATGGTATATGCATTCAAATGTGAAAATAGGACTTTAAATTAATGTATTTTGTCAACAGGTTTCCATGTCATTATACTAGTTGAAAGCAATAATATGAAGTTGCGCTTCATATTTTTTTATTTCAACTTCATATCAGAATCAGAAAACCTTTATTAGTCCCACAGAGGGGACATTTACAATTATGTTACAGCAGAAAAGAGCCAAAGACAGCTTAATGTTACCTAAGAAGCATGCATACAAAAGTATTAAAGATAAAAACAATTATAATAGAAAAAAGTTACACAATTTATAAAATACACATCTTGTAACAGTATATTATTATATTATTGCTTTCAAGAGGTGGAAACCTCTTGAAAGCAATATACATTAAATTAAAGTAAGCTTTCATGCTTTGTGTTTTAAATAAAATATAATATTGTTGTTACTTAAAGCTGCACTAAATATTATTTTGTGTTTATATTAAAGGGATCAAATGACTGTAATGTTAAAGGTGTCTCTTAAAGTGACAAACCTAAAGAATTAAGTTTTTTGTGTCTAAGCATTTTTCAGCCTATTGTTTTTTTATACCCTTCATCTCACAGATGAATTGCGATCCCTTAAAGCAGGCACTTCTCAGAAAAGAAAGGAATAGAAAATAGCTTCTGTTAACCCAAATCAGAATTGTTCATTGTTTGCTAGTTGATTCACTTTTTCACAATCTGTTCATTTATGTTAATTGATGTCACTGTAATACATCATCAGCTGGGTATCTTTCAATGGACTGATACACCTGTACAGTTGTATTATATCCACAGTATGATGTCACCCTATGAGTAGACTAACATCTATTCTGTCCTTCTTGCATACAGAGTAAAGTATGAACCAACAGGCACGCCTCATGATAACAAAAACCTCTGTGGAATGGAATCTATTATGATAAGAGATAAAACCATTATCATAACACTAATCCTGTATCCTTGCAGCTACTAAAACTAAGGTCTTTGTTCAATCTGCTCTTTATTCACTCAGCTACCGTGCAGGGCTTGTTTTGATATTGTGGTTGCTTTTATTTGTTTGCATAAATATGAGTTTCTATGAAGCGTAAATGCAAGGCAGAAGCTCCCCTTGGGATAAAGTGACATTGTGGGCCTCTGGTGAGATAACATGCCCCACCACACACCTGGTATCTCATGCCAGGCCGAGCAGCTGCCATGTTTCCACTGCACGTTACCATGGACGTAGCTTGCAAACATTGAAGTCTGTGGGGACTCTCAATCCTTCTCTTTCATATACTAAACACACACAAGCGACACACCTCCTCATGCATCAGCGAATGGGTCAAATAGTTAAGAAATTGCCAGGGTATGAGACAAAATCACTGAACACACAAAGAAAAACGACATCAAAGAGGGTTTACTCTGGCTTAAGAGCATAAAGGAGCCGTTTCACAGAGAAAATCTTTTTACTATGGTTCTAATGCTCTTTACAGATGGCTTCTGCTTACATTATGTAACCAAAATATGATCCCAGCTTCCTACTCACCTGGAGTAGGACACATATCAGTTTCATTCAGAGTTGAAATAAGTATTCAGTTCCTTTAATAAAAGTGGCCTTATGCTTTTTGGGGTTTTCCCTTTCCTGTAGTGTGTTATGTGTTTGTGCAAATAAACGGTCTGCAAAGGCTGTTCCCTCCAGAGGAAACATCGCTGAAACGCCTCCATTGGACTCCTTTGTTTACTTCCCTGACAAAGTGACATCACTACGTTACACTCACGCTTCTATTGGCTAGCGCTCCAACACACTGTACGTGATAGGCTAAGGGACGGGAAATCTCTAAGCGGTTGACCAATCACAACACCGGTTGCCTCTACCTGAAGTGGGACCAAGTCATTGTTTTGTAAATCAAAAGAAAGTCTTGTTTCTAAATTCCTGAGCCTTGACCACATCATTTTGATTGTCCTTATGCACTCGGAGTAACAGTTATGAGATATTTTAACAAATAATAAATGCTTTTTGAAAAGTGTGTATTACTTTTACCCAAGTACTGCAGAGTAATTTGTAATTCCTAGCTGAATGTTTTGCATGCTACCATCTGCTACAGCAGAGTCTACATTCACATGTGATAATCCGAGGTGTCACCTGTTGTCTGTCTGCTGTCTGCCACATCTTCACCTCTTGCTTAGGCAATGTGATTGTATGTTGCAGGTAAATCACAACTGAATTAGCTGTCACGTTTTTTTACGACATTATTATTGTATTATTTAGGAACTGAGAGGATGTTAAGTAAATATAATTAAACAAACTAAATAGTAAGGGAAATGATGACTTGTTGTGTTAGAATCAAGTCTAAGTTGCAAATCTAAATTAATCAGATGCATGACTTGGCAAAACATTGAAAATGAGAAGTGACATTACATCTCTTCTCTTTGTTAGTAATTGAATAAAAGAACAGATCATTGTGACGAGGAAATACAATACATAGGCCTTTTGACACAGAACAACAACATGTTTAAAAGTACATTTTAACATATAACAGGCCGACATCATACAGTTGATCTGAGCAGTTAAATAGAAATTGGGTTTCTCTGTCGCAGCAACTGATGACATCTCTCAGCTGCAAAAGGTTTTGTTCAGTGCAATTAAGGTGTGCTTGGCAACAATATAAACATAGACATGAACCTAAGTTAGAGAGACTTCAAACCACAAACAAAACCTCACTTACAGATAATAATGTTATTATGTAATAAGCATAAATATATACATACATGTGTTTTTATGGTCTTTTAATTTGTGTGGGGTTTCTCTCTTCCCTATTATTTACGGCTTATGGGCTTTTTTGTAAGATTACCACTTCTCTTTTGGATCTTTACATGGGACATACCGATGAAACAATGACACCTGCTGGACAGAGATTGGAAATGCAGATAGTCTTCTGGGAACCGCCCAGAAACTACTTCTCGTTTTCCATTGGTTTAAATCTTGAGAAGCGTGCTATCTGATTGGTCATATTATTTTCAGTTGACCAATCAACGATTTTGTTTACAACCACACACATAGGTCATGGTTCATCCAAATTTGAAGTGACGCAACTAGCTTGCCAGGCAGCTAATGCTATGGATAACACACTCAGGAGGGAGCAAATATCTTAAACCACAGCTCAGAGAAAATGAAGTATACCCATATGTAACCAAGCGTCGTCTTTTCTGCGACAATGCTCTGTTTGCGTGTAAATGCCGTGAGGTCGTTGGAGTCTTTGAGAAAGGTTGGTAGCTAAGCTAATGGTAAAGAAGCTAACGTTAACGGTATTTCTATTTCTAGCAGATATGACAGGCTGACTTTGACCTAACCTTTCCTTTTTTACACCACTTTGTATTTATATGCATAAAATACACCATATTATTTCTACCGTTTAATAATGGGTAGTGCCTTTAATTGTGTTTAAATGTGTCCCAAGCTCTGCAGTTATTCACTACCATTCAATGTTTACACCTTGTGCTTTCATTATTACATTTATTAAATCATCAGTGCATGATATTAAGGACAGAGAACACACAGTAAAGGGGAACATATTAGATGAATACATTCACATTGCTAAGTTTCATATATTTAACATAGATATTGTAGGGGTTTCTCTTAAACATAAAGTAAGAAATCCAACTGAAGATATCACAGCTGTGCCTTTTATCAAACTGCCTCTTTCCTTCTTATCTCGGTGTCATTCCATTTGCACATAGATATTTACACATCATAGACAAAGAGTTCCTTTATTCTTTTCCCTATTTCATGTCTTCTTAAAAATAGAATACATTAACTTTAGATTTTAGGTTTTTGACAATAAAATGTTAAGAAAAAATTGTGAAAATTGTCCATTCCAGTTCTTCAAAATCCAAGAAGATGTCTCTAATTGTCTTGTTTTCTCACTCCAAAACCCAAAGACATTCACTTTAATATGATACAAAAAAAAAGTCTACATTTGATAAGCTAAAACAGCATGTTCTGCTCTTTTTAAAAAATATATAAAAACAACTTTAATGTTTAATTAAGGTTTATCAAAATCTCTGGCAATTTCTTTTCTGCCAGTCAACTAATTGATAACTCAACTAACCTCTGCAGCTTTTCAGAAGATGTTGCAAAAATAATAAGATTGCCTTCCTTTCTTATGTCATCATTAAAAGAAAATAGTTTGGAATAGAAAGATACTGACAGAGAGAAGAAATAATTGCATGGAATATCTTTCCAAAATGTGACTATAACTAATCACATGTTACTCTACTGTGTTTCAGCTGTGCTTCCTCTCCCTGAAGCACATGAGACATCCGTCCTGTCAGTGCCCTGTGCAGCGGTGGAGGATACAACACAGTGGTGCCGCTCGCTGCCTCTCTACCGGACCACCTGCTCCCCCCACACTGACTGACCCCTCCTCTGAGTGCACTGAAGCAAAGCCCAGCAACAGCACACCTGCCTGGACCCCTGACCAGGGCCCCCCGCCGGCCCCCGCCCACTGCTGCATGAGCGGCTGCCATAACTGTGTGTGGATCGAACACGCCGAGCAGCTGCTGGCGTATTACCACGACGGAGGAGACCTAGCACTCGCAGCCATTGAGGAAAACGTCCTGGATGAAAACCTTAAAACCTACCTGAAGATGGAGATAAGGCTCTTGAAAAAGACGTGAAGGATATATTTGATCACAGTGTCGACATGAATGAGCGTTGTGAGACTCATACAAAGAATCTTGTAAACGTTACGCACACTAATCAAATCTACCGGGTTCAAATGTGACAAGAAGCTGTGGACTCAGGAATCCACCTGTCCTTCCTGACAAAAATCAAACATGGCTAACCGTTAAACGTTCAAATGATAATTCCAGTTTATTATAAGTGGATCTTATTATGCTAACTTTGCAGATTTGTTTTAATAACATTCTACTTAACAAAGTTATTTCTGAGGCCTGGCATCACTACAACAGGAAACAAGAACAAACTCACAGTTTATTCAGAATATCCAAAATATCTTCTTAAGATACAAATATATAATTTTTCGAACCTGCTTTTCTGCCACAGGCTAACCCTGTATTGAGCATTTGGCAGGTGTTATTTAACACACCTGAAATATTGGTAATAATCTGCTGCAGAACCATGATTAGAACTTTCAAAATGGAAGCAGAAAGTAGATACTATGAATCAGTTAACAGCAGTCTGGGTAATAATTATGTTGCCATGTGACTGTGGCCGTTTCTCAATGTTGAGTATACCTGCTCCAGAGCCACTATTTCAAGTATACTACGTCATCGAGTGGCGCCTCTTTCCTCTTTTTTTTTCAGTGAGTACAAAGCAATTATTACTACTAGAAATGCCACTAGTCAAATCACAATTGTTGCTTAATGTTGTCTTAACAACGTAACTAACGAGCCAGGAAGGATTGTCCTCACATTATTTTGTACAGAGCTTGAAGTGGTGGGTTTTTGAAACTGTGTTAAAAGATAATCGTAATGTTTCTGGCCTCATTCAAAAATGTATTTGGTTTAATATTACCTTTTATTTTTTTATTTTTACAGCTTGATTCAGTAAACTTTATAGTGAATTGATTCATTGTTCCTTTCATCATAAAGCACATATGCACATAGGCTTTATTTATTATTAGTTTGAAGTTTGAACTGGAGTGTTTAAATGATAATTGTATGTGTATATGATAATTTGCTTCATTATATTTAAGAGTTTATTTTGATTTTGAAATGTTTTTAAGAATTGTTTGTTAAATAAATGTTTGTTTTTGTGAGCTGGCATGAAGATTTTTTTGTTTTCTTTTGAATGCTTTAGTTACTGATTGACGGTACACACACTGTTATTGCAATTTATTTGATCAGGTTTTATAGTTTTTTCTTTAAAAGTGACTCAAACCAATTACTTGATTTTCAAAATAGCGATTGAAACAATTAATACATTATTATGTATTAAATTATCTATGTACACAATAATGATGTTTTCATACATACATGACTTGGAATGAGCTGAATAAAGGAGGCTTCTTGAAGAGCAGAATGAATACCCTGATGGACCACATGAGAAAATAAACGCTCAGATGGAGTGACGTGTTTCTGTGAGCCGCGGTGGAAACACCCGCTGTCGGCAGCTGTCAGTCTCTCAGTGTGTGAGGGGTGTGTGAGGGGATGCTGACCCTGATCTGCATGACCTAGTCAGCAGAAGTCTGGTAACGGCCCTCTGTAAGTCCTTATTACACAGGAGGAGAAACACAGCACACACATCTGATCATGTACAGAACACTGTAGCCAATGGCTGGGGGACTGAGCTGTCTTCAGTGACAGAGCTTCTCTTGGTTGGAAATCCATCTTCAGCATTTCTGTCTTGGAGCTGAATTATCCACAGAGGTGCCCTGCTCTCTTAGAGAAATGGACCTGGTATTTCAAATGAGGTAAAGCACTAATTAAAACAGGGTCATGTTTGAAAATGTTTGTTTCTCTGAACCTTTTCTGCTGCTGCTGCTAATGTTTGCTGTGCATCAGCCAATCGGCTCACTGCAAGTTGGACCCAGGTACTTCTCAACAAAAACACACCTGTTTGCAATCTTGGCTCCTAATCGGTAGCACGAGGTCTCCATTGATATCAGGACAGCAGAAAGGCCAGACACCTTCCGTCGCAAACTGAAACCCACCTGTTTGGCTTGTACCGAGGCCATTCAATAAAATAAAAATAAAATAGCACCTAAAGAGTTGAGCCCATTTGAAGGTAATTCACTATGGTTTGGCTTATAGTATTTGTAAAGAATATATCTGCACTTTTCTTTTTGTTCTGAGCATCTTTACGGTTTGTTGCACTTATTGTAAGTCACTTTGGATCAAACATCAGCTAAATAAAATGTAATCAGACTTTTAATGACAAAAGTCTCTTTCTGAAAAACATATACTAACCTCAGATGTTGATCCTATGGCCATTGCAGAATGAAATGACATTTTAATGAAATATAGAGCTCTGGCTCTTAATACTATTTTCCATCAGATTGAACAATTTTTTATGCAGTGCAAAATTAATGATGTTTTCTTCTAAATAACACTTTTATGCATACAAAAAAATGAGTTTTGACATATGTACATCCTCACCATCACCTGATTTCACCCAAAGCCCAAACATGCGAAGTGTTGACATCGAGCAGGGATTCAGGGCATTCATAATCTTCTGTGGGCTCAGCATATAAGAGGGGCCCTAAGCTCCCACTGGCCCTCACAGCAAGCCCAGCATAGAGCTCCTCAACACAGTGCTGTGCTCAGATCACCTCTCCCATCAGCCGGTGAGTAAACCCACTATTTCATCCCCATCAAAAGCACAAATATATTGGAATATATAGAGATTGTAGAAGCTGGGGGAGTTAAAGAGTAATGATTGATGTGGTTATTCTTGAAATGAATTGAGGTCAATGGTTATTGTTGATATTGCAATCTTTGTTTTTTTACCTGAAATGATCTCACTGTAACTGAAAAGATGGAAATGTGACGACATCATAATAGATTGAGGAAACAGATTCTTGTTTACTTTGTTTATCAAGCATTTTGTTCTCTCTTGTACAGAAGATGTATCAGTCAGGGGCGCTGTAGGGAGGGTATTACTGTAGCTTGCCAAATGATTAGAGCCAAGTCATGTTTGAAACCTTTTGATACTGACGTACATATGAGGATACATTTTCTTTCTTACTTTGAGAAAGATACTTTTAACAAACACACTTTGTTTCCTTCAACGGAAGACAATATTCTGTAATATCAAATAGTGTCTAAACAAGCAGCTGTACCAAAACACGGGATGGATATCAGTTTCTGAGAAAAGTCATACAAATTTGAGATGAAATCCAATGCCTGCGATCATACTTGACAGTTGTTTTGATACTGCTGCAGTCATAGTACTGAGGGTTCCTATCAAAGTATTTTCAACATACCTGAAAGATGTTGTAAGTTTTTCCAATTGGTTACAGCATTGGTAGTCTTCAAACTAATGCAAAGCATTGATTCAAAGATTCAAGATTCAAAAGGTTTAATGTCATATCATATACACAACTACGGTGTAGTTATGTAATGATTAAAAAAATTGGGTCATAGGTTCCTCAACAATTCAATTAAGGATTGTTAAGCATTGGACATCAAAATAATGGTTTATCTTACAAACTAACCACATCAAGTCTATAGACTATACATGCAGGCACTATGTTTTGATCTAAAACTACTGCACACTAAGATTCAGCCTTGTTGGAGACGGTCAGTGTCATTGAGCAGATCACTGAGACCCTCAGAGCGTGCTCAGCATATCTGCTGTGTTGTCCTTGCTCTAACGAGATTACATTTGGAAACAGAGAAGGGGGAGTACTTATTAACTTGAGCCAGGGATTATGGGAAATTGGATCATCCTCAGAGAACATGCTGCAAGGTGTATTCCATCTCACACATTCAATCAGTGGGAAATATGAGTATAAATCCTGCCTGCTGCTTGCTGATCAGTAAGACGATTAATGTTGGCACACTGAGGTGAGAGGCTACATGCTCATTCTAACAAGATTTTAATGATTAACTAATTGTATATATTGTAATATCAATGTAATATATTGTAGTACAATAACGTAGTTTTACTTGACCTTATGATTCTATCAATATTTGTATACTTTATTATTTGAATTGTATCTTCTACTGAACATTTGACTTTAACGTCATACATGAATATTTTATTTTGAATGTTATTAGTCATTTTACTCTAACTTCTTATTTTAAAATATAACATACATTTATTTTATTATATTGTATCTTTTGTTGCATATTCTTACTTTCACTTTTTATATTTATACAATTATTTGTATTGCACCCGGGTGTTTGTAGTCAACAATGATCTACATAATAAATAGCCTATTTTTTATTTTTTTTAAATGTATTTCCTTCTCAAATAAAGGAACTGTCATTAAACCTAATTTACCCCTAGATAATTCAAGTATTCACATTCTGATATCATATTTCGTTGTTTGAACCTTTTTCTTTCTCCTTTCCAAAACAAAAAGATATCATTGTGACTACTATACTTCAGAAAGGTGTCTCTAAAGCCTGCACAGAGGTATCCTAACTTCTCAAAATGAATCTTGAGGTGCCCAAAGCTGAGATAAAGTCCGCCACTCGCGTCACCGGCGGCCCCTCCACCCCACGGAAAGGACCCCCCAAGTTCAAACAGAGGCAGACCCGTCAGTTCAAGAGCAAGCCTCCGAAGAAGGGAATCCAAGGGTAAGGATGCATTGTTCCTTCAGAGGCTTAGATATAATGGCCAGTTTTGGTGTGTAACTTATTTTGTCTTTGTAGATTTGGTGATGATATCCCTGGAATGGAGGGCTTAGGAACCGGTGAGATCACTTTGAAATGCATTTTGTATGAATTGTTATTATATGAAGAGGCTTACCGGTAAATAACCATATCTTTTTTATATTTCTGCAGATATTACCGTCATTTGTCCCTGGGAGGCCTTCAATCACCTGGAGCTCAATGAGCTGGCCAAGTACGGTATCATCTGAGCCCCCACTGAGGATTACAGGCTGCATCGATACACTTCGTACTGCCGCCTCAGTCTTCATCTTCTAACTTCAAATGGAACTATTCCAAACAAACTACAATAACAAACACAAAAAAGAACTGTCCTCTGTCCTCACGAGCATACATTGCTCAAGTTTAACATCCATTACATTACATGTTACTTGTTAGACGCTTTTATCCAAAGCGACTTACATACTCAATACTGTGGACAATCCCCACAGGAGCAATTTGGGGTGAAGTGTCTCAGGGACACAACGACATGCTGACTGCAGTGGGGTTTGAACCTGTGCTCCCCTGATCCAAACACCAACGCTCTAGTCCACTGCGCCACACGCATCCCTTTCTCTTCTCTTGCTTCTTGTCTCTTTTCTCCTCTATTTCTCCTCTCCTCTTATCTTTTTCTCACAGATAAAACAGGACATTTACGAAAGAAAGGCAACCTGAAATGTAGTGACAAAGAAGTGGTTGGATTCCCACTTCATATGATTTCTACGCCTCCTTCGCCATCTCAGAGGCTTGTCCAGCAATGTCAAAAATGTAAGATACAAAACCTGAATTATGTAAAGATTGGGAACCAGCTTGACATTTCTGATCGTAACCTTTTAAGTGGGATCATTTGAATCAATCCTATCCTTTTGTCTCTTTGGTTTGACCATCACAAAAATTTAAAATACCATTTTGTTTATTTCCATCATAATATGTGTAAGTCTGGTGCATTTAGAGAAGCTTTCTCATAAAAGAAAAAAACACACAGCAGCTTTTATGATTGTGTTTCTGTTTACTTATATTGTATATCCCCTCTTATTTGTATGTCATCCTTGTATAATATGAATGTATATGAACATTTGTGTTTTATGTTCTTGTCATACTTCCACACAACACTGTTGTGTCCTGTGTGTTATATTTTTGTTTTTAATATATATAGCAATTTCTTCTTTCATCCATCATTTATCTATTTTTCTTTTCATTATCATTTCATCTCCATCACTGATCCTTCATTCTGTTCATGTTTAGACTCTGGAATATGACCAATCTGTTGTACATAAGATCAATGCATGCACACCTTGAGTTTCATTTCGCTTTTTTCTCTTTTACATTTTTTTCAAATAAAGACAAGATAAGATATAAGGTAAGAAATACTTTCATGATCCCAAATTGGGAATTATTTTCCATTACAGCAGCATGTCAAAACAAAGGCATTGCACATCATTTGAAATGTAAAGAGTATACAATAAACAAACGTAAAATAAAGAAGATATTAACAAATAGGTTGCTAGCTATTCTGGTAAAGGAAGATTTTATGTTTTTTTTCTGAAATAACTTGTGTTCAATGATTGTTCTGTAGTAGTAATGGATGGCATAGGGATTCAAAGGATGGATGTTTCAGTAAATGTTCAGATCTGAAGAGATGTATATAAAGCTTTGTAATTTCTGCAGCATGATGAAAAATTAAAGAGTAAACAAGTAAAATAAAAATGGAGATTTATCTTTTCTCACCAAATTATTTATCAGATTATATTGTTTTTATCAGCCTTACCGTAACATAAAAATAAAGTAGTGTTGTAACAAATATACAACAATGTGCACAACTCGTTTAAAAAATGCAAAATATATTAAAGGAAAGGGGTATTTAGACTTTGATAATATACATATCATCTCTCTATGCAATTGATGAAACTTTGTTTATTAAAGTTAATAAAGCAGTGTAATACGTTGAGCATTTCATACAGTGCACACTACACTATCAGTTGCAGCTTTATTAAAATCCTGCAGGGACAATGCAGTACTGTTCTAGAAGACTGCTGTGAATCTTGGCTTGTGGTAATGATTAAACCTGATTCTATTGACACATATACACTATAGAAGCTAAACTAAATAGGGACTTCGAATCAGGGTCCATCAACAAGCGTTAGCCACACATTTGCAATTAATACAATGATGTGCAACTAATTGAAATGCAGGTGGGACTTTGTTGGTATGGTCCCCTGCAATTGGTAATCAAACCGTTACCTGGGCATGCCTTGCATATATTTATAATATTTGACATGCTTTTGAAGTTCTAATCTGCTTTGTTGCACAGCATCCTCTAAATTGTAGTTGAAGAACAATGAACAACAGCTATTTGAAATAAAAAAAGTGGAACGTGCCTTCTCAGTTTGAAAAAAAACCTGTTTCCTCCGTGGTCTCTTCGGTGTAGGACCGGTGGGAAACTGTCGGTCGCTAATGTCTGCAACACCCGGTGTTTGAGTTGTGGGATGGAGTTTCGTTGACAGACAGTAACAATACGTGACATTTGTATTTAGTGTCTCTGTCTTCGTACGCAGCGACATCGGGAGGACTCCCCAGTGCAACATGGCGGATACTATTGTAAGCATAACGGCATGTTTTATTAACGGCAGTGAAGGGTAGACTCGGCTAACGTTAGCTAGCTTGTTAGCCGAAGTCCGGAGTGATGAGGCAGCAGAATTAGCTTGGTAGCTAACGTTCGCTGGCTATCATTAGCAATGGGTGACTGGGGCCTGTTTAGCTAACCGGCTAATATTAGCTCATTGGCTAGCTGACGACATTTGAATAATAAAAGGCGTCATTGGATAAAAGGAAAGCTACACGACTGGCACATTTAGGAATACAACTGTATGGCATCCCATTAGCCAAACATTGGCCAGCATATAATTGGTGGATATAATGGAAGCCAAGATGTTGTTGATTCATTAAAAGTTGACTGCGAAAGACCCCTCCACACCGTGACAGCTTTAGTTAACGTTGTCTTGTTCATATTCGACATGTTTTTGTCGTTATACCAAAGCTATTGTATGAGAACTAGAGACTCCTAGGCTAACGTTAACATTACTTTTTTGCACTGTCATCGCTGTCATAGTATCCTGACACTGTCACCACTGTAAAGAGGGGTAGAGGAGGGGGATTATGGCCATTGTTTTTCTGGCAAGTGATTGGAAATCATATTGAAAATGTAACTAACAATGGAGTGTCCTATCCCAATTGCATGAAATGGTACAGCTTATGTCTTTGTCTCTTTTTAGATCGTCAGGGTACAATCCCCAGATGGCATGAAGAAAATTGCTTCTTCCAAGAGGGACACTGCTACTGCTTTTTTAAAGAAGGTACTGTATGAAAAACACAACCGTTTTCAAGTAATAATGGGTTGAACTGTCAAATCACACAATCCACTTTTGCTTTCTTTTTGAAGCCACCAGTGTTTGCGAGGGTACAACAACACACCATACACTCCACCTTTTATCATCCTTTTTCTACAGTAATGCAGTCACCAACATAGGAATTTATATCACAAAGTAAACATGTGTTTCCCTGGGTTGTGCTTCTGCCTGCTCATTGTTCATTTATGTAAGGAGCTGTACAGAAAGTACCAGAGTAGGTCAGCCCTGCACTGCCTCTTTGTGCTAAGCTGGCTCCTAGAGCTGCATGATATGACGGAAATATCCGATTACTTACATTTTGCAAGAACATTATTTATTGCAGCTCTGCCTTTCTACCTTTTTCATTGCACTGCTTCAAAACAACTTATTACTTATACAATTATAAATTACTTTCAAAATGTTTTCACTCACCATATTTAACATTTAATTAAACACAAAAGGCACCAATGAAACAATTAATGATAGTTACATTTTAAAGTGTATTTTTCAAATGGAACTCTCTTTAAACAAATACAAATAATCCCTGTGTGCAATATCCCTGCTCTTCACGATGTGTTCATTGTGAAAGTATCCCAATGACAATATAAATAGCTATATTGTGCAACTCTACTGGTTTCCGCTATTAACACATGCCTTGCCAAGGAGATTTGTGTACAATTCAGCCGACTATCATGTTGTGATTACAACCCAGACACTTCAGAGAATAAAAAAACGCATTCAAAAGATAATTTGGCCCTGTAATGTGATATATTTGTAACAACTATCCCCTTCTTCATTTGGCTCCTCTGAGTTCTGTTACTCTGCGCACACATAAGCGCTTACAAATAATTACTGCTTTAAATGCATTTGAGTTAATGGACTTAAAGAACCTAAAATAGAACAATTTTCCAACAGCAGACCAGTCACAGTGAAGCATTGCAGCAGCACCTCATTAAAAATGTATGTCTCCGTGTTGAGGCAGGATGGTGTAGCGTGCAGATCAATGTGGGGAGATGGGTTCATTCCCTGCGGATGTGCAGCCTTTGATAGTTTGAATAGAAAACCATGGATCAGAGGTAGACAGTGCAGAGACCTGCAGGTTTAGATCTGGAGAGGAAATTAAAGGAGATCAAAGTGATGTTGTTTCTCATAGATTCTGACAGTATACAGTAATATCTTACTGTGTTCTTTTTTTGTGGCTTGAGAGAAATCACGACTGCTGCTGTGACATGGACATGAATAACCCATTTATAATCGAGTTGTTGTTAAAACCCTTCCCTGTTTCCATTAGCCAATATCCCATTTTCTGAAACACAAATAGGCAAGCTTAAAGAGGACATATTATGCTCATTTAGTGGGTGTGGGAGAGAAACTCCCTCTGGAGAGAACTTTGGGATTTTAGCCTTTACAGACCATTTACATGCACACAAATCTATATAACACACTACAGGAAAGGGAACACCTAAAAAGCATAATAGTTTCTCTCCAAGTAATCCAAAGGAAACCATTATACTGTTTCATGGAAGCACCTTAGCCCAGTTATCGAGCACCATTTACTTTCCGCACCAGCACAGCTTCAGCCAGGTGACGTTACAGAAATACAAACAATGCCGACAGCCGCAGAAACTGAGTTGTCTTTGGGTAATTAAAGATGATGCTTATCTTCATCCACGGCCCTCCTGTCCTGTGTCGTGAAAGTGACAGACACCGGTGTGGTGGTTCATAGTGTAGCTGCTTTCAGGAAGGCTCAATATGTAGTGTGTGTGTGTGTGTGTTGGAAAGAGAGGGTCAATGCCCTACAAACAAACAGCTGATGGCGTGCTAAAGCGGTTACAACAACAATGAGATGTTATTATAAGCTCTCAGGGCTAACAGAGCGGTAAATACATTAGCAATTAAGTGGAAGTAAGTGTATAGCGTAGCGTTTAATATTTCATGTCGCTCTCTGGTCTTGCTTGTTTTTGTCAACAATAGAGCGCCTGTGCAAATAGAATGCAATAACCTAATTTATTTCTGCACATATAAACATTATTATTCTTAATATAGGATCATAACCAGAATCATTGGTCATGTCCAATGCAGTCCATGGCTTTATCCTCAAATAACCTCAAGGATTTGGACTGTGCCTGCTTTGTTGTAGCATACCGACTTTGAAGATTAAGAAAAAAGCCCCGTTAGATGGTTTGTGATGGTCTATTGGTTTAATTGTCAAGAGGTCAATGCAGCCGTCTGAAATATTCTTCTATAAGTGACATCCTGATTTCGTTTTAGGCCAAGATAACCGTTCTGCTCTTAAAAATGTTCATGAATTGTTCAACTGAAGTGATGAAACGGAGGCTTATGGAGACTGGTTGTCCTCCTGATACGTGATGTGGTGATTAAAGTACCACAGGATACTATGCTGGCCGCCCAGCTCGGTGTGATCTTAATAGCTTAGTTTGGCTACATGCTGAGTTTCTCTCGTTCCAAGAGGCTCTATGCTAATCTGCTTCTGTAAGGTGATTGGTATTGTTCGAAGAGAGACACCTTCCTTTACACATATTCTTTGAACTCTTTCTAAGAGTGGATTTTAAGGATACTTCTGATATACTCATCATCTGAGACTGATTGAGAACATTGTGTATTTTGATCCTCTTAAATGCATTTCATTTGATTCTATGAAATACAAGTGATCCGTTCTAATCAGCAAACGTATCTCTCTCTCAGGTGGCCAACGAGTTTGGGTTAAATTCCGAGTTTTCTGTTTACCTGAACCGCAACAAGACCGAAGAGCTCCTTTCCCAGAACAAAACGCTGAGCCTGCTTAAGATCAAGTAAGTAAACGTGTACAGTGTTAGGCATCAGTAAAGTCTAGATCCTTCCTTAATCAAATTGAGTTTTGCGAGTTTTTGAAAAGACACAATTGTAACTTTTCAAAAGTATAATCCATGTGGCTGTATCTGCTAAAAGAAATTAGAAAACAATCGTACAGTATAATGTAGTAGTATTAGATTAAGAAAAATACATATTTGAATAATTATCTAAAACTTACATGGGTAACACGCTTTGTCTTCTCTTCTCTGTAGGCATGGCGACATGCTGTATCTGGTCCCTTCAGGATCCCCTTCCACCTCGGGGGAGGTGATGGACACGGCCACCCCGCAGACATCTTCATCCCTACCATCCGTCTCAACTGCCTCATCCTCCTCTTCGTCCTCCATGATCCCCCGGTCCTTCTCAGCGCCCCAGGTCCAGGAGGACGAGATCGATCAGTATCTGTCCAAACAAGACGGCAAGATCTACAGGAACAAAGATCCACAGCTGTAAGAAAAAAAATGAACTGCTGCAAACTAAAGCCCCGGCCACACGAGGACGATAACGCAAACGGACCGCAATCGTTATCAAAAAAAGTCAGGCACCAGAAACGTGTCCGTTCACACGAGACCGCTCGAAAGCGGTACATATGCCAGGCCTGTAAGTGGCGCTGTAGTCCTGCCACAAAAGCAGCGAAGAAGACTTCCTGCGCATGGTTGCCATGGTTGCCCTTCTGTTTATTCTCCGCTGTGGGCGCTCTGGCTCTTTTTCTCCCTCCCCGAGGCAAGCGTTTGCTCCTGATGCTGTAGATCTCTCCGGTAGTCCACCAGCAGATGAAAAACACCCACCCCTCCGCCTCTTCCAAGGGACGAGGGGACCGTGCGGCAGAGTTTCAGTTAGATTTGTTTTCGCCGGTCAACATGTCCGTTAAAGTTTAAATCTTCCGGACAAAATTAGAAAAGTGGTGGTCAAAGGTCTTCTTTGTTATTTATTGAGCTTTAAAACAAATGAATAACGACTCTATATAATAATATAAGAATAATAAACGGAGCCTCTCTTTTCCTCCCCCTCTTCTGACAGCCCAGCAGCTGATCTCTGATCAGGAGAGGAGGGGAGAGGCGGGGCTATTGCTTCAACGTTATCAGGAAATGATCGTATAGGCGTAAACACGGAGCCGTTTGCCCCCCCCCAGAGCGTTTCGTTTGCAGATCTACCCACCTTGGGACCCGTTATCGTTTTCTGCGTTTCCATGTCGGCCTCGTGTGGCCGAACCGTCTATCTGATAGTGAACTGTAGCAGATACGACCGTTATCGTCCTCGTGTGGCCGGGGCTTGAATCCACATTAAAAACAAATGTCAGGGACCTCATGATTCTTTCCTTGTTACAGATGTCACCACGGTTCCCTTGGAAAATGTGTGCACTGTGTACCGTTAGAGGTAAGAGAATTTCACTTCAACTATCCAGACTATAATGCAAAGATAGATTTGTATGACTTATTTTACCTTTTTTTTTTGTCAGCCTTTCGATGAAGACTACCTGAATCACCTCGACCCACCAGTGAAGCACATGTCATTCCACGCATATCTCCGGAAATTGACCGGTGGAGCTGATAAGTAAGTAGTTATATTACAAATTAATTAAATATGACCTTTTCTTAAATTTGTTGTTAATTTTGACACTTTTTTTTCATTCCTTCCAGAGGGAAGTTTGCAGCTCTGGAGAACCTCAGCTGTAAGATCAAGTCGGGCTGTGAGGGCCACCCTCCCTGGCCCGAGGGGATCTGCACCAAGTGCCAGCCCAGCGCCCTCACCCTCAACAGACAGGTACGGGAACGAGCCTTTGTGTCTGAAAGTGAAGCTTTCAGTGAGTGCAACAACAGGTGATGACTAATAAAGTAAAAAGAAAGAAGCATTTGTTTTGTTCCCGTTGGTGTTTTGTCATTCTCTTTTCTTTCTTGTCTTCACCTGTCCTGTAATCACTTAATCATTCAATTAAAACACTTAAAACACTAAGAAGCATCAGGATCAGTCTTGACATTTGGATATTATTATTATAATTATAATAGAGTTTGTGATTCAGTCAAAATCTTTAGGACGTAGTATTTGAAGAGTCCCATTACAGGGTTTATGTAAACGTCTATTATTCATTGGGTAGCTTTATACATGTATTTGACTATTGACTTCACATTATTATTATATTTGTATTCTTGTTTCACTGTAATATCCGACCCGGGCCCTTTGCTGAATGTCGTTTGTCTTTTTGTTCCCTGCCTTTTTTTTCTTTGCCAAAAGTGCCAAAAGTATATTTTTAAATAAATGTAAGAGAGAAGATTACACAGACGCTGGCCCTGCTCTGTAATGATCTCCACTCAGCAGTGAGGCAACAATAACCCACATTCTGTCCCGCATTGAACAGACTGCAAAACAATTGTGTTGCATGTTTTGCATCACAGCTAATGCTGGTGGTCCACTTATATGTCCTGTCAAATACCTTTCCTTGATATCCACATACATTTTTTAAGATATTTAATTACTGGTAGTAATGGATTGAGTATCAAATCATAATAATTTAATTCAAAGCGTTTACCACGAGCAGCATCTACTATGCAACTACACTTTGACATTTGGACAGGTGGAGCTGGTGTTGGCTTGGCATTGAAACAAACAATAATCTGCTCTTGTGAACCCCAAATACTGTAGCATAAATGTGTCTTTCTCTGTTCTTCTCCCAGAAATACAGACACGTGGACAACATCATGTTTGAGAACCACACCATCGCTGACCACTTCCTGGACTTCTGGAGGAAGACGGGCAGTCAGAGGATGGGATACTTGTACGGCAGGTTCACTGAGAAAAAAGACATCCCTCTGGGCATCAGAGCCGAGGTGGCCGCCATCTACGAGCCGCCACAGGTGAGCAAATAACTCGAATGTATCACAGTTCATTTCAGTGTCCTTTTGTTTCGTATACTTCAGTCTGGCCTGCCATCAACAAAGAAACTCCTCATTCATTATTTGAGTTTTCATGTGATGGTAACACTTGTCCCTGCTGTGTTTCAGAACGCCAGTCAGAACAGCCTGGAGCTGGTGGACGATCCTAAAGCTGCAGCTGTGGACGAAATCGCCGCCAAACTGGGCCTGACCAAGGTTGGACTTCTTTCGCTTGCTCTGTTTAGCACTGCTTTGTTATTACATTTTAGACAAAGGTTTTCTTTTGTACCTCACCTTTCATTTGAATCATGAAGGTTCTGCAGCATTGAGACCAACTTCAAATTCAAGACAGATTAGTTCTTCTCTGTCAAAGTGTTCCAGCTCTATGCCTCTTTTATAAGACTAAAAAAAACAATTAATATCCATATTTCCGAAGCAGAAATTATGAATAGGTTTTTTTGCTTTAAAAAAGACTAACATTAATAATTTATACAGATTGTTAACTAATTATTTTGACTAATTTGATCAATTTATTCCTGTTCCAGGTGGGCTGGATCTTCTCTGACCTGCTCTCTGAGGACACGAGGATAGGAACCGTCCGCTACACGAGAAACAATGTGAGGATGCAGCTCACTAAGAGAAAACCTGTTCACTACACGAATGTGCTGCTCTCCCCTGCTGTTGTTTAACATGCTGCTTTCTGCTGTCAGGACTCACACTACCTGAGCGCAGAGGAGTGCATCACCGCCGGATACTTCCAGAATCTACATTCAAACCCCTGCAGACTCTCCAGAGACGGACATTTTGGCTCCAAATTTGTGACCGTGGTGGCAACAGGTAGGTTTATATTCACTGAGGCTGAAGTGATGCTAATGATGCTATCATTCTTGCCTAAACCATTGTATTTGGTATGATGCGTTTATATAAGCTAATGCCATCTGGTCCTAAAGAGTTTCCAGTCCAGTTTCTTCTTTACTAGTATTAACTGTCACATGTAGCAGGAGAGGTTCGACAATTAGAATGTCAGTCCAAAACCCCAACATATTTAGCTTTATAGGATTTATGACGGAGAGAAACACGAAATCTCAACATTTGAAAAGCTGAACAAAAATCTGTTTCTGCATTAAGAATGACTTTAATTTATAAATCAATGATCAAAATAGCCAGATGATTGACTGCAAAGGTCTTCTAATCGTTACAACTCAATACAACCTGTGAATTGTCTTAACTGGTACACCATGGGTGGATTTGAAGAGATATGAGATTTTACAAAAGCAGATGCATCCAGACGATCTATATTTATTTTCCATAAGAATTCATCCAAGCCACATACAAGTTAATTGGAATACTCAAATGTAATCATAGTCAAATCTACGAATGCAGTAGATGGGTAGTAATATTATAAACACACATTTAGTGATCCTTTCTGCACTTTGCAACTGTGTCACTTTTAGCCGGCATTATGTGTTATAACCTCTTGGTATTTGTTTAATGCTAAAGTTGACTTATTTGTGAATGTTCAAGCTCTGCGGTTTGTGAATGGTTAAATACTGCAAACTCTGCCCCTTCTAAGCTAACATGCTCGCAGCCAGACTGAGAAACCCTCGGTTGACTCTCGAGTTGAAAACCAGTGTCAAAGTACAGCTCGGCAAGATCACGTTTGATACTTAAAGCAAATGGCAGAAAGATATCCAGAGTCTTTTAAACTGGCTTTGTAGTACAGGCCTCAGGTAGAGCCTCTGCATGTGCTAAAGGAGTCCTTACTCTAGCACTCGGGGTTAGTTTCTTTTTGTCCCCGTTTCCTTTCTATTGAGGCAAAGAAAAAAAACGTTTAAACGTAGTCATATGAAATTGCAAACAATGCGGCTGACAACCTTAACATTCCTGTTAATGTGTCAGTGTCAGTCTTAGCCAGTAAAAGTAAATGTTTGAATCATCAACATAAGCGTTGTGAGGGCCGATTGTTAAAGAGTCTTACTTCCTCTCAAGTATCTGCATTGCATACGTAGTAATGTTGAGTCCAATGGAGCAGCTTAACTCAGGCCAGATGCTCTCAGGTCCGTAGGATCAAGGACACATGTTTACACTTTCCCTCCTTTACAACCGTGCCGATTATTTGTTCCAGAAAAGTACACGTGTAACAGTGACCTCATCACTTTCATTTGCATTAATGAGACGCTGACAGCCAAAGCTGACGTCATGGCTTCACATCTGAAGCAGAAATGGAAAGTCCATCTGTTTTGATTTTCCCTTGTGTAAAGACGTAGTGTGTTTGCTAATCAGTTTCATGTGTTAAGAGCTATTAGATGAGATACAAAGCACACTGACAGAAAAACACTTCATATTTTTTAGCAGTGTCCCAAACTTCTTAGTTGGTATTTTAATTGGTTCTACACATCAGGCGGGACTTGTTTGTATTTTTGTTTATAGCTGTTGTTTCCCGTTTTGTGAAAAACTCGATGCTGAGACAAACAAATGAATGTATTAGTTGATGAATGACCTTTTTGATAACTATTTAAACATTGTGGTTGTTTATCAAATGCAAGTAATCTACATGAACTGCTTATAGCTACTCAAAAGAGAAAAAGCTGCTAATACAGTGCTACATATAATTATAATAATAATAATCTTAAGGTGTTACCTACTCTGTCATGGGCATTTGAAATGTTTAACATGTTAAAGAGAACATTTGTGCTAGGTAAATTGTTCATATTTCTTCATGACAACTTGTGTCACAAGAGCTTTAAAAGTTGGACAAATAGCAATGTTATCAAAGCTATGAAATGATATTAAAACTACACCGGTGAGGTTCAATTGTAAGAGAGGGCCAATGAAGCAAAGGAGAAATAAAGTGATTCATAAAAATGAAGCAAGATAAAAAGATTCATAAATAACACATACATATATTCAATTCTCACTTATTGATCATGATAATTGCACCTATAATGTGTTGAATTGTACGCTTGAAGAAAATAATATATACATATTTAATGGCTACAGAACATTGCACTACATAGATGACACCTATAGTATAGCATTGGACTAGAACAAAATAACAATGTATATAATGAGACAGGATCACAGACGATGATGTCATTTTGTTAATCTAACCAATAAGAATTTTAGCAAAAACTTTAACTTTGAAATGAGGGAACCTGAAGTGGTGTAATTCTAACTCACTCCCGGGTCTTTGGACTCATTCCTGCACCACTCTATTCAGTCAACTATACAAAAACTGTGATAGTGATTATTCTTCAAGCAACTAATGAATAAATGTGTGTTTCTGTGTGCAGGGGGTCCAGATAACCAGGTGCACTTTGAAGGATATCAGGTGTCCAATCAGTGCATGGCTCTGGTCAGAGACGAGTGCCTGCTGCCCTGCAAAGACGCTCCGGAGCTGGGCTACGCTAAAGAGTCCAGCTCCGAGCAGTACGTACCAGACGTCTTCTTCAAGGTGAGGCTTCCTGCGTGTACAAACAACATATCTTCACTATCCATATTACAGGGTTCTTACAGTCATTAGAAACCTGGAAAAGTCATGGAAATTCAAAATGCTAATTCCAGGCCCTGGAAAAGTTATGGAAAACAATATTTTCCCCAAAGTTTTGGAAAAGTCATGGAAATTTAACTAAAGTTGCATCAAATATAATTTATATTTTATCTAATCGCCGAAATAGTAATACTATAATGATAATAAATACTGTATCGTATAGTAATGAAACATAAATGGCATTTAACTGACGAGGTATTTTGCTGGTGAGATTTGAGTTGCTTTAGCGTGAAGAAGCTAGTAAGCCTACTATTGGATTTGTTTTAGATAGGCACAACATGTTTCATATGCAGACCTTATTCTCCTGTTCCATGTTCAAATAAAAAATGTCAGTGGTACCGCTGAGAGTCATTTTTTTGGTCATGGAAAATTAGGTAAAGGTCATGGAGAAGTCATGGAAAAGTCATTGAAAATCATTGGTGAAAAAGTGTATGAACCCTGCTATAACTCTGTTTTTGAACTTAACTAACTAGCACTTTGTTATTACGGCCAGGTGTTATGAGTTTGATCATCCAGATGTTTGTATCCAGGTGTTGAGACTGTTTGTTTGTGATCATTTATTTTCCCTCCTACCATGCTTAAGGACAAAGACAAGTTTGGAAATGATGTCACGTTTCTAGCTCGGCCTCTGCCTGTGGAGTATCTCATCATAGATGTGAGTATGACTGTTTCTACGCTCAGCAGCTATACATGCAGCTTTTTTCTTTTATTACAATTTAATTTACTGACACTATTTCTTTCTTTTTTCAGATTACTACCACCTTTCCAAAGGACCCCCAGTACACCTTCTCTTCTACACAACGCTTCCCCATTGAGAACCGGGACATCATGGGAGAGACACAAGTGAGTCATTACTACATCAACTAAACCCAAAACAGGTGGCTGGCAAAACTAGTTTCTACATTTTCTTGTTAAATACATTTTATTTTGTAATTTATTTAAAGTCTTACATTTGTGAAATATACCTTAAGGCTGAAAAAAAATAGAAAAAGCTCATAAATGTGTTTAAACAAATATCAAACGGATCCAACATGTGTGAATAAACCCTAGAATTGTTTGTGTTTCTGTAATGATGAATCCCACAACGCTTGGGTTGCTATTATTCCAAGTGTTTAAGTCTCTTAAGTCGTTTTTATTTGTTTTAAAGGGCCAAATGCTTTGTAAAATACTGAAAACAATTGTAAAAACATATTCAAAATAATAGGAATATTATTAGAAATGAAATCCTATATTTTTGTTCAACTATAGAATTGAAATAAATGTATGAACCAATTCTTCCTGAACATGTATGCAGTAAATGTGAGATCTTGGGTATGTGTATATTCTGTCCATCCCAAGCATTGGTTAACGGAAATGTTTAACTGCTTTACATATGAATCCTCCTCTCCTCATAATAGAGCTTGCACACGGCTACAGTTTGGTGTTTGAGAAAATGAGGGTTACTGACCTTTTGAATTCCATAACCTCCAGAGGTCAGAGGAAGTTATACATCTTGTTTTTTGTCTTTGTGTGTCTGCAGAATTTCCACAGTTTAGCAACATACCTGTCCCAGAGCACCTCCACGTCGTTCCTGGACATCGTGTCGGACTTCCATCTGCTCCTCTTCCTCGTCACCAATGAGGTCATGCCTCTGAGAGTAAGTCCATACTCCCTTTGTTTTCCATTTGTTTAGCAGCAAACGGGTTATCATAAGCCCACATTCTTCTCCCGTCTGGAAACGGTTACTGTTGTGAGGATGTTTTCACTCATGCTGACAGATTTTGAAACTGGCCCCAGGCCCATCATGACGATCAAAGGGTGATAACAAATGGTTGGATGCTTGATCAATTTGGACGTTTTCTATAAAAACCAGACTTGCAAAAACAACCAGCTGGTGTATTCTATCCCTGAATTGTCTAGCGGATAGATGAGAGTTTGTGTTTGTTTGCAGGACAGCATTGGGTTGCTACTAGATGCAGTGAGGACTTCTGATGAGGATCTGGCCCAGACCTGGAAGAAGTCGGAGCAGTGGGCCACCATCGAGCAGCTGTGCAGTAAGTCTGCCCATCACTGAGGGCACCTCACACTCGGTCATACCCGTACAGATCTCAGTTTAGATTGTGCACTAGTGTGGAATATTTAACTGATACATCTGGTTACAGAAATCTTTAATACCTTTTGCTTTTGCAGTTCGAAAATAGTCAAAACTGTGACACATTTTGAAACATGACACTGTGTTGTGCTTTCCTTTTGAATTTGTCCCCTTTCTGTACAATAACATCTCATTTAATTAGATGACGAGCATATACTAGTATTCTATCTTTGCCCTATTTATAGGTGTATTTAGGTGTGGGAAAAGCTTAAAATGTACTTTTGAATGTTTGAAAAGTACTTGAATTTGACTTTGTAAAAGAGAAACCCTATTGTCAGACTAAGACATGCAGGAGACTCGCCTTAAGTAGAAAGCTAACGTTAGGCTATAAACTAAATTACAGTAACTTGACTGCACTAAGCTAATGTTTGTCTTGATTACATTTAGTAGTCTCATTTAGTTACTTGTCTGCAACCGCAGTCGCTTTTGTGACATATACTTTCACCAGTGGGGTATTTAGTGACGCATTGTATGTTGTGGAACAAATCATGAATCTATTTAGCTTGTGTTGACCACAGACCTTTTTCAGGCAGCTAACCAAAAACACGACGAGGGAACCGGAAAACCGGTTATCAAAAAGTAGCTAATGCTGTGTCCTCCCTCTCCTCAGGTACAGTGGGTGGGCAGCCCCCCAGCTCTCAGGGTTACGGGGCCATGGGCGGCCCCTCGGCCCCCGCCTCCTCCTCGGCCATGTGGTCCTGCCTCCACTGCACCTTTATGAACCAGCCCGGCACAGAGCACTGTGAAATGTGCAGCCTGCCCCACAGTTAAAAAAACCCCACCCTGCCCCCCCTCCCCCTATGTCCCGCCCTAATCTCATCCCTCCCAGCCAATCTCCTCGCTGCACCAGGACGAGCTGCGAGATTTGGATTCCCTTTTTTTGTTTTTCTTTCGCCTCGCTCTGAAGCCTTCCCATCTCACAGGCGGCTGATGAAGGGGATGCACTCGTTTACACCTAATTCAATGAGTAAATAAAATAAAACCAGACTGTGTTTATTCTGTATCCCTCCTCACAGCGGCTCTCGTGAGTCTCGTTAAGGTAAAGCACTTTTTCTTTTTTGGCTGAGGCCCCTTTCCCTCAATGCCCCCCACCCTGAATAATCAGCCCGTCAAATGAGACTGGAGTGTTTGGATGTTCTCTCACATCAGTGCCCCTCTCACCCTCACAACGTCTTCTGGAGTAACGTGCTGTGTATGAAACACATTTGAGGAATGATACTGTTATTTAATTCTTTATTTTTTGTATCTGATTGTAGCGATACCTTCATGTTTTGAATCTGTGGACGCTACTCATGTAGGTCTCTTTGACAACCCCCTTAAAGTACAATCATCAGTTTATTTTCAGTATTAATTTACTTTAAGAATAAGTCCCAGAGTTGAAAAGGCATACACAAAGAGCGTTTCACCCCTTACTCAACCTTAACAGTGGTTTGCACCTGAGCAAAAGAATATGTAGCTTATTGTATCAGCTGTATGTGCCGTCTCTGATAAAAACCCAACTAAATGGCCAACATTATTACTGACTTGCACTATATTAGCCGCGAGGTGCTTCTAGAAACAACTGGTTCTCGCCAATATCCTCTCCGTCGCTCCCTACCTGGGATTCTTCTTTTGTTTTCTCGCTGGCGCTGCTGATGGGGCCCTGCTGGGTAACCATGACTCATCCTTGAAGACTCCAAGTGTGAGGGGTCACTGGTCACTACGAGGAGAGAAAAGATGCATATTGATTTCACTTGTCTCAAGCAGGATGATGATGGTCCGTGTTGGAACTAAACCTTGAAGTTGGCATGGTCTGATTTATGTTCTACAAATCATTGTAATCTTACAAGCATAAACCCAGAGCCTCTTCCAGCAGGAGACGTCAGATTGATGTTTTTTGTCTGTGTTTTGGAAGGGGCTAAGGCTTAAACCAATGTGAAAGCACTTCGCTCTCCTCAATGGCACTAAAAAGGGTCAGTTCATCAAAACTGCAAAAAAGATTTCCATAGCTATACGATATTTGATAGCCATACACAGTTTATACGTCTCTGAGAGTCTGCCTTCATCCCTGTTGATGCAGATGATTGTGCTAAGAGCATTGCAATGTGACAGGAAGTTATCCATATAAGGAGGCAGACATCTCAGAGACAACAAAAACAATCTCCATTTTAAACTGCTGTGAGTGGGGAAATGTTTTGTTTTCCATTTCAACTAAGTAACCTTTAACATATCACAGTCAGCAGTATGCATATGAGGATAGTTGGTTAAAACTGGTTCTTTTTCATAACAGTTTTTTCCCCTTTTCTTCTTTCGTGAGACACATTTGTCGACCAAAACTTGTGATATCATTTGAAACTTCCACATCTGGCAACAAAATGTTGAATTAAACTACCCCGCCTAGATTCTCGTAGCATTTCTAGCATCGGTTCAGCGAAATGGACCACATTGATATTGTCTGTGCAAAGTGAAGTGGGAGTCTTGGTAAGCTAATGTGTTGCCGTAATGACGTTTTTAGTACGATCAACAATATTCTAAAAGAGCATGTCTACATATATTAAATGAAAAGCCAGTGTAGTTTTTAAAATCATATTTAATGTCTGTCACCAACTCATCTGGTTTGACTTGAATGCCTTTGCTCATACAACAGATTTGTAGATCCACGTCCTCCATATGTTTGCTGCTGACAGAAAACATTCACATCGCTACTTTCTTTTTCCTCAAACCTTTGTGCACTTCTCCATGAAATAGTTCCATGTCATTACTTTGCTAAAAGGGTCTGGCAGGAGTGAATCACTAAATACTGTGGCGTTTCATCGGGGTGTTGCCGGGGAAACGGGCTTCTTAGTTGGGACGAGAGACGCTGGTTTGCTATTTATGAATTAATGAGACGTGTGCTTTGTAAGAGCTTGACAGTGATTCCATGACATATATTTTTAGTTGTAGGTTAATTTGAAAGAAGCTTGTGTGTTTTTTTGGTTTCTTTCTCTGCCCAGTTGATATCATTATTGCCTGCCCCCCCCCCCCTCCCGTGTGAGTTCTTAAGAGCGATTTCTCTGATGTCATGCTAACGGACGGCGGTGACCTTTTCCTTTTGTATTGATCCGGGCCGTTTGCTGAGCGAGCATGCTCTGGTCTTACAGCCGGTCCTGACCGAGGACACAGAAAGTTGTATGCTGTTGACCTGGATTTGAAACAAAATAATAATAAAAAAAACAACAAATTTGTATTGCTGGTAATTTCTTTGATTTGTTAATGTCGATCGGAAAAGTCAAAAAAGAAGGCATCATTTAAAGACTTTTTAAATCCTAATGAGTTTCATTCAAAGAACAGGAAACGCTTAATTTTGTATAGATTTAGTTTCCATTACTTGTTTTAGGACTTTTCTTTTATGATTTATGGACAAATAACTTTGTTCTATTAAAGGGAAGTCTTAATGCTACAGCATACAGGCATGCCTTAGAACCTTATATAGGGGAGAAGGGGGTAAGTTGAGCCAGTGGGTAAGTTGAACCACCCCCTGTAACCAGGCAACGCCTTATAGTTGTAATCACGTGACCAGAAATTATGCAAGCTCCTCCCATTTCTCATTGCCTGTGAAAGAGAGATGCTCATTGTGGTCTGGTAAGTAAACATTTTTACAAAAAAACGTTTTTTTGCTTGTCAAAGTAAATTTTCTAGATGTCAGCTATATCGGCTGTCATGTAAAAAAAAATGTATCCAGGTTTAAACACATATATTGCATATGTTGATGTGTTGGCAGCGTATTAAACCATGTGAGTCATTAAGCTAAAGATGACTCTGAATTTTAATGCTAGGCTATTTTTTCTAAAATGGTGGCTATGGGGTAAAGTGAACCATGGGCCTTGGGGTAAGTTGAGCCAGTTTTTCAATGGAGAAATTAATGAAAGTAGGCCAAGTTGATAATAAGAGCTCATTGTAGGCTACATTTAAAGTTGAATTTACCCTGTGTTTGATTGGTAAGATGTATGAAATTGTATCACCATTTGTATGATTACTTTTCCTTTTATTAACATGTTAAAAAAAAATCAATCAATTCAATCGAAATTTATATTAAAAATATTTGAAAAACTAAACTTGTATTTGGTTTGTTATTTATTGTTTAAAGTTACCTTTAAGATTTTTTGTAGGTATGCCCAAGTTTGAACAGTGGTTCAATTTACCCCCTGACCTGGATCAACTTACCCCTTACCCGGGGCAAGTTGAGCCACAAGACTTTTTTTAGAAGTAATATTTTCACTGCCCTTGATCAAATATGAATTCTTATCATTGCCATTGATAGGAGACATCCTGAATTATAGGTGCGTGCTTTCATTTTTACTATGTGTCATTTCTCCTTGCTTAGAGGACAGCATTACTAAAAAATGGCTCAACTTACCCCACTCTCCTCTATACAGTCTATGCTTAGAACATACGTTTGATTAAATGACAACAAGAAGCACATTTAATTAGTAGAAAATAACCAATCAGTGAACGACAATGAAATCAAAAGACCTCAAATAAATACATGAAAAAGGATGAGAAAAAAATCTATAGAAAAATAAGAATTGTGACCAAAATACAAATTTTTACAAATCAGTGATCTCAAATATCCTTAAAACGAGTTGGTATTTTTGTACCACAATTTTAAATGAGTGTTATGTTGTGCTTCTACGATCTACAAACATCTAACAGTTGTTAAATAATTTTCTCAATTCTTATTTTGGCCTATAACATGTCAATGGCAATCAGAGTCCAAGTTAACGGCTTCAAATGTCTGATTTGTTCACAAGTAATCACATTTATGAAGACGGAATCAGACAATGTAACTTGTATTTTTCTTTATTTAAGTTGACATTATTTAATGGTTCACAATAATCTCTATCAGTTTAGTTGAATATTTGTGAATCCGTAGAAAGAATGAACAAAGCGTTCTTTTATCAGTCAAACAAGGGGAAATCACTTTGAACACATTAGACGCTACTGCAGCCCCTGCATATGGCCGTTTTATCACAACCGCAAGACTCTGTAAATGTTTGATGGTTTCCAGGGTACATGAAGAGTTCCCTGTAAGTGAATCTGCCATAACAGATGTTCTACTAGTGATCAGGTGGAGTCCAGTGGAGGTGATCCTGGACATCACACACAGGGCTGCAGATGGACAACAGATGAAGGACAGGAATGTGTAAGTTAGACGTGACCGTAAAACTTCCAGCACCTCTGCCGATCATATTGCAGCTTTTTACACTGCAGATACATTTTCCTGTCTTTTATCTGGACATGTTCTGCATTGTGTTGAGGCAAATTGACTATGACAAGATGCAAAATGATCACAAAGAGACATAAAATACCCTCAGTCTTATAAAGTGTTGACAAATGATGAATGATTCTGAAACTAGAAGTGAAGGAGAGTTCTGATAGGAAACAGACTGAAAGAACAGGTTTGAGGCAGACTTTGAAGTGAATCCTGATATATGATGCCCAGTCTGATGGGAGTGGAGACTGAAGAAGACCCTCCCCCTCTGCAGAGAATATACCCTCCATCCTCTTGTACTTCACTGGATTACTTCGCTTTGGACTGCCACTGCAGGTAGGGTTTTCACATTGTTTTTACTTTTAGCCCTGGAGTTGTGGATGTCTTATGTTATTAAGCATTTTAGTTTTTTTTATATACCCTTAAACGTGTGTGTTTAAGGATGAAGACTGCTGGAGTTCTGCTCGTCTTATCGGTGGCTCTATGTGCCGCTCAGATAAAGAAAATAAGTGGGAGACCGGAGTGGGATTTCAGAAATGAAGGTGAGGAATAAAGTACATTTACTATCACATATCGTTTTAGAGATTTCAGTTTTTTATCATTTTAATTTAACATATTTTATTCCTTAATCTCTCGTGGTGAAAAAATGTCTTAAACTTGACGCAAAGTGCTTTAAACATATTTTTTATGTTGCTATGTTTTAACAGTATTTCATTGACTATTTTAATTTGTGGCCGGTCCTAAATAGACATTTTAAAGATATTTAAGGTAACGCTGTCCGGTTAGATTCAAGATTCAAAGATTTGATTGTCATGACATACTGCGGTGTAGTTATGTCATGTATTACAAACTGAGATCGCAAGTTCCTCAACAGTGCAATTACAAAACATACAAAAATAAATATTAAAAACAACAATAAAAATAGTGCAAGCTCAGGTGTTTGATAGTCTTATGGCCTGTGGGAAGAAACTGAGTCTGGTGGCTTTTGTCATTTTTTGTTATCATTATGTTATATTATATAGGACTCTAATTCTGACGCAACGACATATTTATAACAATGCTTTCTCCTAAAAATAAAGTTTCCTAGGTATTCATATTATTTTCTTTTTATATTGAAATGCATCCTATTTTATGGTAGCCTATTTCCCCGTGATTAATTGTTTCTAATTATTGCCTTTTATATAAAGCAGTTTTTATTGCATTGCGAGAATGTTGACCACTATTTTACTATCGTTAATATAATTATTTTAATGTTGTTGTTTTTTAAATATAATACAGATGTCTTTTTAACATCCCAACTGAAAAGCACACTTTCAACCCACTAAACCCAGATGTCTTTAACCTGCAAATCACTGCATCTGATATCCAGAGTTACAGATGCAGATGATTCATTAGATTTTACACTAAGTATAACAATGTCTACTTCTATCTTATGTTATGTTTTTTCACTTCTATGATATATTTTCTTTTAATGTTCCTTATTTATTTTCTTTATGTGTTTTTCTTTCTATTGTTCTACTTTCAATAACTGGATACAGAGCTTTTACCCATACTGCATTGGGTAACTTTTTATAATTAGATATTTGATTCAGGTGCTTTTTCCACTACGGAAGATTATTTGAATAATTACTTTTTAATAATTTCACAAGCAAACATATTCAAAAAGCACGTTATTTAATGATCTTAATTTGTGTTGGTTTGTGTTTCTCTGTGGCTCTTTGTGTGTGCAGCGGAGAAAGTGAACACCAAAGCATGTTCCAACCTCACGCTGGTGTTAGACAACTGGAAATACGCCATCATGACGCAGGTCAAAGATCTGCTGCTGCACGACCACAGCACCGTGCTGCCCGACTATGGACGGTGAGGACCAATCTGTTTTCATTTAACCAGGATGCATGGAGGGGCCCACCGAGCACAGGGGCCCAAAGGGGACTGCTGGCCTTCACCTGCAAAATGTCCCTCAAAGTGACATGTACCAACCAAGAACAGATGCAAAATGACCTTAAAGAGACATAAAATACCTACAAATGGACACAAGAACACCACATAATGACTCAAAGGATAACAAAAATGACAAGAAAGAAACACAAGAAAACCACATAGATGACACACAATGATGACAAAAGAATAAAAAAAGACAGGAAATGTACTCAAAGACACAAATTCACTCATAAAAACAATTGACCACAACAAATAGACACAAGACAATTACAAATAGATAAAAATGACCAGATTGAGATGCAAAACGACTGAAAAGAGACAACAAGGCACAACAATTATCAAAAGAGACACAGAATTACCAATATATATATATATATATATATATATACACAAAACCAGAGAGATACTGTATGTTACAACTACAAACAGACACAAAAAAACAATAAAAAGATGACAGAAAATCCACTACAAAATATTGTGTCTTGCTGCAATGTTGGAAAGATGGTGGGAACTCTTGCATGTCTGTGAAAGCGGCCCATTTTGTTGTAATAATGTGATTGTATTCTATTTATATGTTCCTCTCACGTCCTCATTGCGGGTGAAAATAGCTTTTATTGTAAGTAATAAAAGTGAATTCCCCTCCCTCAGGATCCAGCCGCTGTCAGACGCTCTGGGAGATCTGTACGGAGAGTTCAACGCCCTGAAGGAGCGCCTCTCTGAGCTCACCGTCAAGTTCGAGGAAGTGGAGGGCTTTGTGGACGACGTGCGCTCAGGAAGGAAGCCTTCACAGCCCCGAGGTGAAGCCAGACCCCAGGGGTGGCAGCCGGGGGAGGGGAGGGCTGCAGGCTTCAATGCTGGGGTTCAAGGCAGGAGGAGGAGGGTGGTCGTTCGGAGAATCAAGAAACCTGCAGCTTGAGAGTTCAAATGAAGGATGATGAAGCTTTGAGACACAGCCTCATGCCTGGTGGGGAGCAATGTTATGTTTGATGCAGGATATTGCTGTTAGCCTCCAAACCAGTTAAATTAGCTCTTTCTGCTAAAGTGAGGGAATTTAGGAAACTGACGGACACGTTTTTTATCTACAGGTGAGGTTATTTCCATCTCATTTTAGGCCTAACACTCGAATGTTTGGAAACTATTTTTCATTGCTGCAATTACATCAAATGTTTAAATTGTAACACAGGAAATAAATCCTATTTATAAAAATAATGCAGGATACAAAACCCTAAAGAGATCAAGTGAAACTGTTAGATTTACAGTTTACACACTGCCTATAACACATTTTTATTTTTGTGTTGAACTTTGTAGTATTTTGGGGGTGGGGGGGGGGGGGGGGGGGGGGAACGGAGCGGAAACCAATATGACTTTTTAATGTATTTATTCCTATTTCTCATCTTTTCTCATTGGACTGTCTCTTGATAAACTTCCTGCATAAAGAGGTGTTTTTGTATTTATATACTGTTGTATATTTTTTTACCACAAGGTGGCTCTGCAACATCTGAAGTATTTTTATCCTTGATAGAATAGATAGAGTGTGTCCTCTGACTTTAGTCCATAAGCTTGTGTAAATATAAATATTGCACTTCTTGTTAACTGAATCAACCATTTGAAATGATACAGTTACTCTTCAGCCTTTTCACTACAGTGATATATCTTATATATTTACATATTATTTGACCTGTGGGTCATCATCCAGCAAATGTATCTGGTTATAGAAAACAACTTTTCAAAACGTATTTTCATCATGACAACAACCAGCGTTCCATTAACACAACAACCCTCCAGTTATCATGTTTAATATACTCATTATTTTAATGTTTGTTCTTCATCTTACTAGTAGCCTGGTTTCCAGCAAAATAACTTGTTTTGGACATGCTTTGTATTTTGTCTGTTTCTATCGAATAAACATTTTTGAAGTCGATTTTTAAATAGTCCTAGACAAATTTCACTAAACCTTACATTGAAGAAAAAGTCTGGACTAATGCATATAAATTGTAAAAAAAAAAAAAAAAGGTATCCATAACAACGGATTTACTTACAATTTTAGCAAAGACAATCATAAATTAGCAAGTATTAAAAGTACACATTTTGCAGAAAATTACCCATTTATAAATCGTTGGGCAATTATTACTGTTGCATTCATCTGTGAAATAGTGTATAACTGTGTTGGTAGGTGTACGAATGTGGCATGATAGTGGTGGATTTTACACAATCTATTCATGTGCAATCTGGTGACAGGAAATTGCAGAAAATAATTGAGGAAAACGGACAATTGTTTAAAAACACAACAGCTTCCAAGTAGTAGTACAAACTTGCTGTATTGTTGGGCCAACAATAGACATTAAATACAAATAGAAATAAAAGCAAGTGCTGCAAAAGTAAAACAATAACATGATTATAACATTTAATAATATTAAATAAATACATTAAAATGTGTGTCCTATATTCATTACATTCAACCTCTGGTATTATACAATATATGCGTTTAGATTTTACTTTAAAAAGCACATAAAACCTAAAGCATTGAAACCTGAAAAATCATAGGTTTCTAAACTGCCCATATCCTGAACTGAAAGACACTACCGAGTAAATAAACGCAGCATAAGTTTCTTGTTTGATGAGATTCAGAGAGAAATGAAACTGAAACCCAGGCTTCTGCATTAGGGACTGTCAAGAAATTGTTAGTAAATCACGAATGAGTACAGTGTTTTAATTGGCGATGTTTTAACCATAAGTGTTTTAAAAATTATTAATATGTTGAAATAGGTTTTGCTAATTAGCACGTTAGCTTAGATAGCGTTTACGTCAAAGGGAAACCGCCAACTTTAAAGTAGTCGAGTAATTTCGCGACCCTCCCTTGAAGTGAAAACTAGGGAGGTTGCAGCAGATATAAAAAACATTTCCTCAACATTTCTTCACAAGTTGTTTTCCGAGATATCATCTGACAGGCCGTGCCAACCTCTTACTGAAAAGGTAAGTAAACATAGCATAAATATATGACATGTCATTAGCCTTATATAAACTGCTTCACTTGTGCAATATAGCTACATTTAGTGCAGTTTTTACAGGTAATCCAAATATTTACCTGACACAGGCAGAGGTGGAAGAAGTACTCAGTTACAGGTTAAGGTCCTGTATTCCAAATTGTACCTAAGTAAAAGTAAAAAAAACATTAGCATTATACTTTAAGTATCAAACGTAGCCTACTCCTGCAGAATGGCGCAGTTAAAGGTGGGGTAGGCTATGTAATTTATTTCAGAAACACTTGTTGTTATATTCCATGGAATGCTCTTAACATCCCGATAGCAATGAATATATTAAATGCTTTGACAATAAATACATACAAAAATGTCATCTGTGGAAGCCGTAGCACTGTGAAATGCACGACCAATCATTTTAGCCGCCCGGCTAAAATAACTGGATGGCCTACCTGCCTGTGTGCACAAACTTATCTCGTGCCCTCATTGGTCATGTGCGTGTTCGTGTGTGTTGGAGGAGGGGCTCTGTAAGGAAGAGGCAGATCTTTTTCGGCTGCGTAGTTTCAAATTCGAGCGCACTCGAGCTGGTTTCTCCAAAATTACATACCCCACCTTTAATGAATTACTTTATACACTACTGGGTAGCTTAACCTATCATAATATTTAATAATGTATTAGTTGAATTACATGTTGTATTAAGAATATAAATCTGCAAAGTAGCTAGTAACTAAAAAATGTTGTTAGTAAAAATAATGAAGTAGCTTGTGTGTACTTGAGTGTACTTAGTTACATTCCTTCACTGGATAAAGGTTATGCACTATAAACAGGGATTTAATATATGTTATATGATTTAATAACCCTTTTTGTATCTTAATGAATCGTCAACGACCTAAAATTAGCTCAGAGAAATACAAGTCAGTCAGTCAGCTGACATTTATGTTTTTATTGATTTATATTGCATTCATTGTATTGATAACATACTTGGTATTTATAGCCCTTGTGGTGTTATATAACAGACTAGGTGACATATTTGTTTATTTTAGTTGTATAAATGATTAATTCTAACGAAGAGGTGCATTTGTAATCTTTAGTGTCAGCATTTCTCTTCTTGCCACTCCCTAACTGACAGTTAACTTGAATAGTAAGTGTCCCAGAGAGACATGGAGGATGTAACTGTGATTTTTATATTCATAGACAGATATCAGGGGAACAGGGACTCCCTTCAGAAAGTCCCTACAGATGGAGGGGGGAGCAGGAAACGTCCCCAGCACCTCTGGATCCCAGCGAGGGGAGGATGGTGCAACCAAAAAACGCAAGAAAAGAAATAAGGTATGCTGTTTTCCATTTTCACATTTTCCACACAAAGAGAGGTATTCAGCTCTTAGCTATTACTTACCACCAATCTAAAAGCACAACATTCAATTGACCACAGTAACAAAAACTAAATGTCCCTGTTATTTTGTTAGGGTGATAACATCTTAAAATATGAGGAAAGATATTTGAAGCTTTATATGTAAACCTCAATAAAAGCTTGGAATGTACAAATACATAAATACCATAATCCCTAGTAACTAAGTATTTGTACACATGCATAATGTGCTCAGTTCATCAAATGTGATGATTGTTATATATTACAGGGCCCATGTACCTCACAGGTGTTTTCACCTTTTGTTCTGATTAGTGGAGTTGCGTGAAGCTCTGCTGTGTTCAGCCTCTATTTATACAATTAGAAAGATGTAAATTGCCCAAAAACAAAACAGGATAGTCCTAAAACAATATTTTACCTCACATGAATTAAATAAGGTAGAAATGCAGTCATAGGAAGAAATCCCACACTTTATTTGAGTGACCGTTTAATAAAATAAAAACAAATCTTTATGTTGATGTGTATTCCAGGAACAAAGACCAGGATATCACAACAAGAAGGTCAAAGACAAAGAGAGGAGGAAAAAGAGGAATCAGAAAACACAAAAGAGCACCTCAAGTGTAAAGAAAGATGCAGATTCTGAAAGTGAAGACACAGATAAAGGTGAGATGGAGGTTGTAGGAACAAGCAGCCAAACTGAGGAGACTCGGCCCGTAGAAACGCAACATGTGGATCCACAAGCGGAAGACAAAGTTCAGACTGTGGAAGAACAAAGCCACGGAGATGCTAAGATGGTACACACTCAAACGAAGAAGCCAAAAGGTACAACTAAATACACACAAACTCCCATTGTTTGTCACAGCGACCAGGAAACACAGACCGACTTCTCTGAGGCAAAACAAGACGATGAGAAGACTCAACCTGAGACGGAGACGAAGAAGCCAAAAGATACAACTAAATACACACAAACTCCCATTGTTTGTCACAGCGACCAGGAAACACAGACCAACTTGTCTGAGGCAAAACAAGACGATGAGAAGACTCAACCTGAGGAGAAGAAACAAGACACGCCAGAAACCAAAACGCAAAACACTGCTCAGACTCAGTTAAAGCAAAATGCAAACAAAGACAATGACAAAGCAGCATCAGAGTCAACCGAAAAGCAAAACCCTGAGAAGGAGTCAAAGTCTAAAGAGGAGAATCCCTCTGCAGATGCCGAACCCAAGTCTTACGCCAAAGTAGTGACCGGAGAGGGCGGGAGTCAGAAACAGTCCAATGTGGAAGCCTCCAAAGCAGCGGATAAAAACACAAAAACACCCCAAAGCACATGGTAAGAAGGACACAAGCAGCAACATCTGATACTGTGGTTGTTGGTGGGATAGTTAACGTGTATTCTCCCCTCTCCACAGTGATCGAAGCCCAGTGAGACCTCCACCCGCTGCTCCCATGTTCACTGTTCACATCTATGCAGTGCTGGACAAAAAGTTTAGATTCAACCAAGAACATGACACGCTTATGATGTGTTATGATGGAGGGCAAACACCCTTTAAGATTACGCAGTTTGTGTGAGTATTTAGCTGCAATACATATATTTGAATACTATTTTTTCTTCCAGCATTGTGAAATTCACAACAGATAACAGTTTAGGACCTGAAGTCCTTTTTATATATATATATCCCTAATCATATTCGATTATCTATCTATCTATCTATCTATCTATCTATCTATCTATCTATCTATCTATCTATCTATCTATCTATCTATCTATCTATCTATCTATCTATCTATCTATCTATCTATCTATCTATCTATCTATCTATCTATCTATCTATCTATCTAGTCTTTTTTGACTCAAGCAGAATCTTTCATTCATGACTTTTACTTGTAATAGATGAATGACGATAACACTGTAAGGCGAAACAGCAAACAGACAGCTGTTGAAGACGGATGCATTGAGCAGCTCAACAGTCAGTGTAAACTTACAGTGGGAGGCATGTGGCAAAAAAACGGAATAATAAATGATTAAATTGGCCTTGTTTACTTAGGATTATTCTCCTGCAAGTTTTGGTCTATATATCTCATACTATTACCAAACTTAGTTTATTATGAAGGTAATGTGCTTGAGTGCAGAACCACCTCAGTCATGCCATTGTTCTGATACTATCAGACTGCAGTTTTTGTATCTTCAGTATAGATGTCACAACAGATGTTTCAATATGTTCTGTGTAGTGGAGGACAACAAAAGGAAGGATGTCTGGTGGAAGCAAGTCTTTCTGTTGAAGAGCAGAAATTGACGAGAGGCAACTGGTGGACATATCGGTATGGTGTAAAGCAACGATCCAAAGACATAAAGAAAGGAATCACTACAAGACACGTTCAAATCCCATTGGACCAAAACATTAAAGGTAAGGCAATCATTTAACTTTAGCATGCTAACACATATCTTTACAGTACGTTTTTGTCTTTCACAAAACCTGCTTGTGTTCTATCTAGAGCTGCACCTTTACGAAGGCTTCATTTCTCGTCATGAGGAGCAAGGTTTGTGGCAGTCTGTTGGTCAGATGGTGGGATGGCAGGGATCAAAAAGTGTTGAGGTATCAGAAGCCTGGCAGGCCTCAGCGGGGACTCTGCTGAACAGAATCTTCCAGAAATGGATCCCATCTGACAAACAGAGCACTGAGAGGTTGTGTGGCAGCTTGTTGCATTTTATGGAGAGTCTCGGTTCTGCACACACAAGGATGGCATTTCCAGGCCATTCACAACCACCAATGATCAAGGTTGGTTGAACAAGAAGAATAGAAATCACAGTATTTATTATATTTTACCACCAATTGTCTGCCTCTAATCACATTTATTTTATTCCCAGACAGCTGAGCTGATTGCGGAGACATTGGTTCAGATTCTAAAAGGAGAGCCGAAGGAGAAAGTCCCCGGCACCTGGAGGAGCAGCAGTCCTCTCATTCAGGGCCTGTCTGTGTTCAAGGTTACCAGAAGGTGTAACATCAGCCTCGGAGTGAAAGAATATGCTGAGCTGTGTCTCCTCGTGTCCTCAGAGACATCGATGGACAAGAAACACCTGGACGAGTTACTAAGTTATTTCCAAAATCCACAATTGTAAGTCTGGAAAAATTGTCAAGTTCGACAAAATAGAGGTCAATTTACTTGGTTTCTGTCAACTACAGTATCTTCCATAACTTCCATGACTCATTACACTCTCTGAAATACTGTATGTATAGCCTACTGAAACACTTTGTCTCTTTAACATCAGTTCCCTATTTAAAATAGTTTCTGGATTCAGGACATAGAAGTCTTAATTTCAGGATCTACTCATAGAGGGGGGTGGCCCATTACTGCATGAAAGCAGAGAAAAGAACGTATTAGATTTTAGGAATTGAAAGTAAGTTATATCAAGGGATTTCGAAAATGTAACCCCATAGGCAAACGTAAAAAAAAGGTCACATTTATTTATTTATTCATGCTAAACTTTCATGAATAAAAACAATTTAAAAAACGTTTTTTAGTATTTATCAATTCTCAAACAATTACGCCCAAAATTGTTGGCAAAATAACACTTTTTAAAGAGTCCCTATTGTGCTTTTTAGGTTTTTGTTCCTTTCCTGTAGTGTGTTATATAGGTTTTAGTGCATGTAAATGGCTGAAATCACTCGAGAGGGAGTTTCTCTCACCCCCTGCCTGAAACGCCTCCATTGGACTCCTTTGTTTACTTCTATAACATAGTGACATCACTAAGTAACACTCACGCTTCTATTGGCTAGCGCTCCAACACATTGTACATGATAGGTAAGGGTTGAACAATCACATCAGAGCCATCCAGCTAACCAATCAGAGCAGACTAGGCTCTGGTTTCAGACAGAGGGTGAAAAGAGGCGCTGCAGCACAGGCAGTATGAGAAAAATAAAGACCTTTTTGAACAGCAAAGGAAAGGAACGTTTAAAAAAAAGAAGAAGTTGTGAATCGATTCAGATGAAATTGTTACATGAATGAATTTAGCCTCATCCCTAAATCTCCCACTTCTCTG